AAAAAAAAAAAAAAAAATCTCTTCACTATGCTGCCACTTTTTTGGAAAAATTTTTCAACCACAAAAACTGAAGTCCAGTTATTTAGTTTTTGGAGTTATCACTGAGGATCTTCATCCGTTATGGCCTCCACAACTGTCATTTTAACAGTTTTTCCTTCCACTTAATTTCCAATTAATATAAATACAGCTCTCTTTAACAAACCAGCTTATTTAGAAAGGAGGTTTGATGGGTGTTTTTCACTAATAGTACTTTAGGCCAGGGTTCTGCACCTTATGGCTCCAGAGGAAGAGCTCTTTTGACCCTCGATAATGTAAAGTTTAAAAATATCAAAATATCTACCTATTGATTGAAACAACAAATGCAAGTTTCAGCAGATTGTTCTGATGGAATAATTGCATAAAATTTCTTCAGTTAATTATATTTAATTTATTTTGAGACGGAGGTCTTCAACAGGGGGTCTGCGACCCCTAGAGGGTCCACGGAGGTACTTGTGGCTTTGGTTGATTAGGCCTTTTTTTAATATTCCCCCCTGCAATTTTTTTCCACTAATTGAAATGTCCTTAAATACACATTAACTTGAATTCAACACACTGTAGTAAACAGATAAATGGAGGCAGAAAATGTCTTTCAGTCATCAATACACACATTCAGCGACACACAGGAGCTCTTTCAAGCTGGGCACCGTTTCTTTCACAACACCTGGAATCACAATCAGAAATGCTTTACTAATCCCAGGGTGAAATTACTTTAGTTACATGACTCCATCTGTAATAGAGTGACTATAGGACCAGTTTGATATAACAAAATGTCATACATTATATATAATTAGGGGGTTCCCGCTGCATCTCGACATCAGTTTGGGGGCCATTGGCCTGGAAAATGTTGAAGACCCCTGTTTTAAGAAGTGAATAAAATTATCTTATGATTTGATAAATTATTTTATGTTGCTGTGCAGGAGCCCATCATGAATTGATTTCAAATGAAACACATTCATCAAAGTCAGGGAGGCGGGACTAGGATGCTGCTCCCATAGAAACCCTGATGACAACTCCTTCCTTTTGTTTTATTCTAAAATCAAAATTTTGTTTACATCATGTCTGTAATTCTAAGAAGCTGCATTTTGTCCTACATCTGTTTTTTATTAGCTGTCAATCTTCAAAAACATTGAGTTTAATTTCTTAATATATTATTATATAATGAATAACCTTTTATATGGTATTATAATTTATTGAGATATATCTATCAACGATGCTTTTATTTACATTATATCCAAGATAAAATCAATAAGACAAAACTAACTCTGGATAAACTACAGTTTTATCTTTACATTATTGCTGCTATCTTTCCATCTTGGCAAATCCAGATGCTTTGTTTTAGTTTTTGCTTATATTGCAGGTTTGTGTTGATTTCTTCTTCTTCTCCCTGCAGAGTGTGATTTTGAGGAGCCTCTTCTGTGTGGCTACAATAACCAGTGGAACGTTAATGTAAACTGGTATGTGGGAGGTGGTGGAGTTCAACTGGTTCACAACAACATGCCGAAAGATCACACATACCACAACAAGACAGGTGAGGGATGTTTCTGCTGATTGTTTTCAACAGGAATCCGTTGTGCAATTTAAGAGTCTGTTAAACAAAAAAAATAAAACATAACCAAATATTCACACATTACTTTCAGACAGAGGAAAACAAACCAGCAGAGAATGGTAGATTTCAAAGCTGCAAACATGCAATTAGAAGCATCTTCACCTTGGATTATAGTAATTTAGGATCTGTGGAAACAATCCCAGCTGACGCAGAGAGCCTGAAAGCTTCTGCTGACGCTTTAATCTGTCAGGTTTCTGTTATAGTATTCAGTCTTGCTTTACTCCTTGCTGTGTTCGTTGGTTTTTACTGTCCTAGTCTGGGTTCTGTTATGTTTTCTTTTGAGTGTTTAGTTTTCTTTTCTCCATGTTTTATAGTCCTAGTAATTTAACATTGTGTTGTTATTTCCAGTCTTCCAGGTTTATATTTGTTGCTCTCTGCTGCCCTCTTGTGTTCTCCTTTTTCCCTAGCTCTTTCCCTCTTGTTCTGTGCA